CATTCAATTCAATTCATTGCAAACCAATTGTCACACAATTTCACCACAAATTCACTCACTTTTCCCATTCATTCATAACATTCAAAACATGTGTTATTATCGCATAGTTTAACATATGCTATAAATACAAGTAAAATTCCCAATAATACTGCCGTTTGGTGGGGAATATTCCCGATTTGTCGATACAAATAGCATTATGTGCTGAAGGAATATATCCTATTCAATGAACATGTTTTTAAATGTAACGCAAATCTGACGTATTATAACGAGCAGTTGTTTGGGACCTTTTATTACTATACGATTGTATTTGATTTGCTTATATTAAATCTATCTAAAAAGAGATATATTGAGAACATGGATTTAAGTGAATGCTGAAATGTAGTCAACAAATTGCACTTAATTTGACTTGTTCATTCATTTAATAACCACCTGTTCACTTCATATTATCATAAATAACTTATTAATATACCTCTATATTAGTCAATAGTATTCATAATGATATCTCTATTAATATCATACAATTATTACTAAACAAATTCATTGCAATCTTAGTAATGAAAACTTTTTATTAAATATTTTTACAATTAATTCGAGACTAAAAATACATTAAATCATAATTTAATCAATCATTGAAAGTCACACACGAGAGAGAGAGAGAGAGAGAGAGAGAGAGAGAGAGACTAATATATGGATGAATGGAGAGGCAGTGATGAGTGAATGGCGTGTGGTTTGCACCACCATCTACTTGGTCTATTTGGTCCAGCTCACTTTGGGAATATCGTAGTGTTCGGTGAGGTTCTCGAGATGTGTATTGAACTCTTCGACCCTTTGTTTATGGCTTTTGGACGCCTTCTGGAGTATGCGTTCAGTCTGTCGTCTCGTCTGCTGGTCTAAGAACTTCTTCTCCGCCGGAGTCATCCATTTCAGTGCCGAACCACCGGTCGGGCCCTCAGATGTGGAGGAAGTGGCGCCCGAAGAGGAGGTCGTGTGACCGCCGCTGGACTCGTGCAACGACTGGTCAACCATTTGCTGGTATTTCAGTTTCTCATCACTCGATAGCTTCGTCTTCTTC